ACACACACACACACACACACACACACATACACATATATATATATATATATATATATCATAAAAAAATGTCAATGATTTAAAATTGACAATTTCTTTTTGCAAAAGAATAAAACACATATTTAAGCCTTGTATTAATTAGAAATAATTAGAGGGTATTTTGATTCCCCTATATTAAGTATTCGTTTTTATTTTTTTGGTTCTGTTGCGTATAAACATCTACATTAAATGTAAACATTCTACCTCTATACATTAAAATTTAAATATTGTCCTGATTTTCAATACTTTATTTTCTTTTCATTGTTCATTACTCATTCTTTGATTACTCAAATAGTGTAATTTGGTAATAGTTGATAGTTTAAGTAATTATGTGTGATATTGACACTACTCATCCATGCATGCACTTGCTGTGGTCTATTTTCAGTGAAGTAACTTGAATAGAAATTAGAATTCGAATTTAAAAGTAGGTATCATAACGCAGCACTTTTCCTTTGTTGAATAATGTAATTACATAAATTGCAGGTGGACAAAGAATAAATGAAACTGCATACTGCACACTTACTTTTCTTTTACAATTTGATGAGTAGCAACTAATAAACATGTACTTCAATCATCCGCTATTTAACTTTTTACTCGATGTGTAGTAAATAGCCTATTTTTGGTTCCAAACAACCCTTCTTGTATGAGAGAATTTCTAACAATATCTTTCATATACTCAGCCAAAGATATAAAAAGCAGCTACGTTTACTGCATTGATGCTAATCCAACGAGAACTCATCTAGCCATATGAGCACTTCATTCCTCTACCATGTCATGAGCCACAAAATAAATGAAGCAATTGTCATTAGTTAAGCAGACGATAACAAATTAAGGTTACAACTTTAAAACGAGCAATTAGAACATTGCTGAAGATGGAACAATTCTACTATGCATGCATAATGTATGATAAGGTGCATGGATAGATGTACCTTTATATTTGAGTCCTTAAAATTTATTTACATTTTTTTTTATTTTTTAAAGTTAAGTCCTTAATATAAAGTTTAATCACTTACAATCAGAATCTAGATGGGTAATGCAAGTAACACCTATTTGATGTGGCCACACATCATAAAGTTCAAAGAACAAAAGAGGAGTTCCATAGAAACAACTCATTGTATTGATTAATATGAAAAAGGAGCATCATACAATACAGAAATACAAGTATCTACAAAAGTGTAAGAGAAACTAACTAATCTGAACCAACCAACTAACTAAACTAAACTACCTCAATTAACCACAACTAACTAACAACTTGTAACAGCCCCTCTCAAGCTGGTGGTGGTAATGAACCATAACCAGCTTGAACAAGGAACTTATACACTGAAAAAGGAAGGCTTTGTTGTTTTCAGTGTTTTGCCAATTATTCTTTGTAACAAATAGTCTATGTGGTAGCATTGGTAGGCATAAAGAGAAAAGAATGACTCTTCGTGATAGCTACTAGACAATGGTCCACGGCACCTAAGAGCTCGAGCTGCAATGCCAACAAAAAGTACCATGCAAAATTTGTCAAAAGTTGTGCCATCAAGTTGGCCTTAAGCAAGGTCATTGACAACTTTCTCAATCCCAAAACCAAGTCCCTTCCTATCCTTGAATGCTCATTTGTACTACAACTTTTTCCCTAAAATCACTCCTAGAATTAGACAACCCATCAAGAAACCATTATATTTAACACAATTCATAGCCAACAATATCACAAGACTTTAATCGAACACCTTATTCTCCCAATGCACCTGCCAAGGTATGTGATGGAAAATTGTGGCATGTGGGTAATCTTCAATTTCGACAGCGCTTATCCTTTCGTATTGGAGTTCTTTGTGTCTCACCAAGAACTCACCATTCTCTACAGTTAATATATTATCAGCTACAGTTGAGAGACAGTACTTATCCCGTAAGAATTCATAAAGGACCAACATTGAAACTATTTTTCCAGTAAACAGTGAAAGCTCTTTTGTTGAAATTCCTATGGAGAGGAGGTGGAGATCTACTGCTTGAGTTCAAGTCTCCAACAAAGTGGGTATATATGGATCTGAATAGAAGGCAAGAACCAGGTTCTTGGCAAAGCTTCTAAGAACTACAGAAGAAAAACCTTTCTCAATTGATGTTGATATTTTGTCAAACACCGGGCTTTCGGGGTTTAATAGTACACTGTCTTAATCACCATCAATTTGGTTAAACCCCATTAAATTGGACAAATCAAACATAGCCATAACAATTTAATCAGGACAATCATCATGTAACTCCAATCCATTAAAATCATACCTCAAATTTTGTTTATAATCCTGCAGTTTATATTTATCACCCATTCACCCCCTCTTCCCAATTTGCAAATCCTGAACCCATTAGCTTAGGTGGAAGCAAGATTCCAATCAAAGAAATCACAGGTCATGAAGACATTCATGCAAGTATTAGGGTTCCCTATTGTTGTACATTGTTGTCCACCTCCATGATTAATCACAAAACACAATTCACCTTCTAGAAAGGACAATGCTCCAAAGCCTATTGACATAAACATAATTGGTTCCAAGATGATTGAAATTTTGTTCCATAATATGTGTGGATACCAATGCAGATCAGTCACAATGTCCATCTGATTGTGCCTTCAACCCTATTTGAAACAATTCACCACGAACATGGCACTTTTACACGGAATTAACCTCACGGACTAGTTCCATGCGAACATTCACAAACACCACACTCCCCCACATTCTCATTTTTTTTACAATAAGCCTAGAAAATGGTTCCGTTGAAAAATAGTCACAACCACATCTCGATCACCAATCCAAGATCTTAGGCTACATTTGGCTTATTTGAGAAATTAGGATAATTTGGATTACTTACAGGATAGAGATGAAAATAACATAAAGATGTCAACCACCATGGTTTTATCACTCCATGGGATTAACCAGGCACCTTAATGAAGTCTGACAACCTCAAAAAGCTCGTGGTTGAAGCTCAGTGCGACCTCTGCTTGAAGCCTTCGTAGCTGGTGAGCAATGCGATCCACTTGCAATGACAAAATGCAAGGCTCCGCCGCACATCGAGCACGGCACAATTCTCAATGATGATGTTCCATTGCTATTATGAGGAAAGTTCCCTAGAGCAGTCAACCTCCACAGCACCTCCGTTATGCTCCAATCTAGAGTCTCTTGGGAGCACGTGCACCGAGAACCACTACTCCTGTGATTGACTTATCGTTGTTCTCCTCCATCTTCTTCTCAATTTGTCACAATGGAGAAACTACAAAGCAAGTTATTTTTTCTCTTTAAAAAAAATGGCGTCACATTGAAACTTGGCTCCATTAATAGAATATGCTCCACATGTCCCAGAATATGAAGCTCCTTTGCATGAACTTCAATTTTCAATGTGAGTAGAAAAAAAATAAAAGAATCCTTTTGCACCTATTATTTGGAAAAGAAATCCTTCTACTCGAGAACATAAAGATTAGATTTTGTAAAATTACAACAGTCCAAAGGGATTTGCATGGACAATATAAGTCCTTAAGATTGTTGTACATTGTTGTCCATCTCCATGATTAATCATGAAACACGATTCACCTTCTAAACTAAAATCTGTATCATCAAAAATGTAAATAACCTGAGATGTGAGATAGCATTATCCTTAAGGACTTATTCATGTGATGCACAAGTCCCCCAAGATATAATAGGTTCTTCCCAATAGTAATTGGGATAACAAAACTAGCAAGAGTTTAACTGAGAATAACCCATGAAATTTATAAAGTGATAAAAAGGAGATGTGTGAAAGGCTTTCTCAAAACCTTCTGTATGCTATATTTTTAATGAAGAAAAACTCTCAAAAACACCTTTGACCAAGTCATAAGATAACATGTAACCAACTATTGAAAGACCAAGTCAAAATATAAGATAAGACTTAGTCCAAAAGACAAGTCAACAAGACTAAATCTAAGGAAAATATTTGTTTAATAAAACAAAATTAATTTAAACTAATTTTCCAACTAAAATAAAATAAACATATTAATCTTTTTAAAATATCACTAAAAAATACAACACCTATCACCAAGTTGGTGCTACAATAAGTCTTGAATTCAAAATCACCATTGTTGGAGAATGTCTCGAGACATGTCTAAATGTTGAACATGTAACAAAGGGCATGAACTCAACCAATCTAAAGGGGCAATTTTGCCTTGACCATTGATTTTGTAAATGCTTCCAAAAAAGAAAGCTTTAAGATTGCTTGCAACCTCTATTTCTTAAACTTCCAAATAAGAAGAGCTTTGTTCAGTGGCTCTCGATCATGATGATATCTTCCTCCTTTTGGATCTTGCTTTGCCTCCACCAACTTGATTTTGATAATGTTGGATAACAAAAACAGAAATATGCCACTTTCATATTTAGCCAAAAAGCTAATTCTATTGTTGCGTGAAAAATAGAACCAAAGAGCACACTCATGTTTTCTCCTAGTGAATGGCATAGTCTGGTTTGTGATCAGATGTACTTGGCATAATTGTGTATCCACAGTATCAGTCTATCCCACCTCACTAAAATAAAAGAAGAAATCCCCAAGTCCGGATAAAGACCTATCATACTCCTATTTTGACATAGACTCCAGCTAGATAATAAAGACCTGCCTACAGGATTCTAAAGGAAAACACCTATTAAGCCCGAATACTTAGTACGACACGGATATGGAGATATGACAATTTTTTTAAATTTAGAATAAGATACGTCCTGGATACGTTACTAAAAAATTATAGGAAAATTTAAGTAGATGTAGAATTTAGTAAAGAAATAGATGTTTTTGAACAAGAAGCTCAAGGAAAGGTGTTATTGTATACTACTCCGATACATATCCAAAAAGTATCCTAGAAAAAAAGTTAAAAAAATAAATGAAAAACGATTGGATACTTTTTGGATATGAATCTAGAAGTATCCAAGGAGAATCGGTATCTGACATGGGTATGACATCGATAATTTTTCACTTTTGAAAATCAGTGAACACTCAAGCAGGATTTGAATCATACCATTACAAAAGTTGATGTTCGACCCGGATCATTGTACCGTGCAAGTAGACAACCAGGCTGAGGTTTAAGACCATCTTTAATGATATTAGACCGCAGGGTTTTCTCCTTCTCCTGAACAATATCCTCTGCAGGTTTTCCACTAAATTTCATTACTGCAGCAATGCCTCCTTCAACCTTTCTCAAGCGAACTGTTTCTTTATCAGGATTTGGTAAACTGGGAAAAAGATTAAACAGAAAGCACAAACCTTTAAATTCAACTAAAGATACTACACTCTTTTCATGTTGATTATTTTCTTCTACAAAACTGCATTTCTTTATTAAGCTAAGACATGCATCTTAGCACAAAATTTCTTCAAATTTTGATACAAGCCAAACTCAGTGGACATACCTTCCTGTTTCTTTGTCTAACGGAAGAACTATTTGGATCGAAACTTTGGACAGGTCAGCATCATTGGCTTGAGTGAACACAGGAGTAGTCATTGGTATCTTCTCCATTGTGGAATTCTTTCCAAATATATATCTGTGTAGAGAGAGGGATGATTAACATTTCCACATTATCTGAGGTTGAGAGTCTAATAACAAAAGACAGCTTCATTTGATATGTCATATCTTACCCAGCAACATCATTAAAGCCAGTAGACCCAGATAGCTTGTCTCCATTTGTTTCTACTACTATGAATGGATCATACTGTCTAACCTGTTACATCATTCAAAAAGGAACAAACACTCATCAGACAACAATTCTGAAAATTTAATGTTGTACTCAGACATATACCAATCTTTATGTTTTGCCGCTTGAATTTTTGGTGTATTGGTTGATGAAATGATGAACAAACTCTTTTTAAATTGACATTTGATATGCAGTAGTGTGGCAGTGTATGCAATCACAAACCTTTTGATATAAGCAGCATTAACACAATCCTCTTTAAACAAAATGCCACATTATTTCATCACGGAACACACTACTACATCAGAAATGACGGATAATATATTAAACTATCACGCAATATAAATCATGCTGATGAAAGACAAGATTGACCTCATAATTTGCTGTCCTTCTCAAAATTTGATATTTGGGTGATTCCAATTCCGGTGTTTTATAAATCCTCAACTGCAAAATGCCAGGGCTTCCAAGTCAGAATACAATTTGGAAGACTTTGAGAGAATGAACATACAAGGCATACATACATACATACAACGATTGTGAAACTGAAGCGATACCTGTTTGATTACATCCAACAAACCTTCCAACGAAAAATAGTCATTTTTCTCTATTGAATCCCAAAAATCCTGGGAAATTGAGGAATAATAAATAAGTTCAACACCCATACGAAACTAGTTACATCTCTCCACTTAAAAACATAAAAAATTTAGATGCAATTCCTTCATTGCTTCTTGTGATGTTCTTTTAGTGATTTTTAGTACAAGCGGTTGACAAGGCAAAACTTCTAATTTACTTAGAAAACATCAAAAACACTTAAATAACTCATCATTTGACGGCATAGAGAGTTGGAACTTGGAACCTACTACGTGGCTACAGAACTTGCCATTTTCTGGGTTAATGCCCATAACCGAGGTCCCGGTAAAGACCAGTTCCGGTTTCCACGGAAGCAGCACGAATTTCATAACCATGGTCCACCTTGTAGTTATCTCATACGGTCCTGTCTATAGCAACTCCATTAACATGAAGAAGAAAACAGTATCAACAATTAACCGCGGTTAAATTAAAGGTGAAACGAACCGGTTTGACCCAATGCAAGTGAAATTGGGGTCTAAAGAGTGTTTTGAGAAGAGCAATGTTGAAGAGGTAGCCATCCAAAGTATCGTGTTTGGTGATTGGGTCTCGAAAGAAGACGCGTTCGTCATAGGCCCTTTTGTCGATACCCTGATCGTCGAAGAGGTGCGTGAGATCCTCGTAGAGAAAGCCCACGAGCTGTTGCATGTCGAAGGTTGATTTTGGTGGGCTTTGCTCGGCTAGGCCCAGTTGAATGGCCCACTTGAAGTGGCTGTTGCTTCTGCGGTGCCGCCGGAGGCTGACGGCGGTGCTGGTTGGTCGGAAAGCGGCGCACGCCGTGGGGAATGGACGCCAAATTGGCTGAGAGAGGTTGGAAGTGGCCATGGCCATGGGGATGGAATCTGAAGACAATGAATCGTGGCCACATGCTAGAAATTTTGAGGAACTAATGGACCAAAAAATGAGTGAATTATGTTTCTTAACTTTTTTTTTTCAGAGAAATTATTATGGTTCAGAATTGGACCCACGGGCTTTGCCAGTTTTATGGTTTTCACGTTAACTTTTGTGATATTTAAAATTAGGTTAGATTAAGTGTGTGTTTGGTATTATTTTTTAACGTAATTTTTTCTTTTCCTTTTATATTCAAGTGTGAATTTATTTAAAATTTAATATTTATTATTTTAAGTTAAACGTGAAAATTAATGTCTCGAATGCAAATATATCATAAATTTACATCCATAAGTAACTTATTTGACTCTGACTCAAGTTTGACAGGAAAAAACTATTTTTATTGAGTAAAGATTTTTTCTGACTTAAAAAATTGGGTTCAGGTATTTATGTCTCTACCCCGCTTCCGTATCCGTCTATTTAATTTTTATATATCTTTTTGTTACAATAGAGAAACATGTGCATACACATATATACACACATATATATAAGGGATTATAATAACACTGATATAACTTTTATTAAATATTATATTATTTAATAATTATATTAAATGTGAATTTTGTAAATCTAACTATTAGATTCAAAGTTCATATCTCTTATATCATATATATAAAACTTTATATTAATCTAAGATGATTTGATACTTCATTTTTATAAAACAAAATTGATGTAATATATTCATTTCAAAATACACTAAAATATGAATACTTTGATTATCTTTAAGTTATTGTTTAATTTTAACAAAATTTGATATACACGTATAAAGTGATATGAAATTTCAATCTAACGCTTGGATTTACAAAATTCACATTTAATATAAAGTTATTAAGCAGTGTAATACTTGGTAAAAGTTACGCCGGTGTAATTATAACCCTATATATATATATACATATAATATTTATATGTATATATAAATATACAATAATTAATTAAAAAAACATTTTTTGAGAGGAATTAATTAAAAAACTTAAAATCATACGTTTTAATTATTTTTCAAAATTATTTTTTATTTATTATTTTCATATATTATTTACATTATAATATAATTAGTGAAATCAATACACTTCATGACTCTATTAAAAATGAAATAAAAATTGAGATTAAATAATAAAAGTATGTTGATCTAACTAGTATTGTAATTGATCCCCAAGCTTTAAGGTTTTTGATTATATAAAAGTATTAATTTTCTTACATTTTTTTAATAATGAAAGGGTATAATGGTCTACCAAATATGGAGGTCAAGGTGGCTATTAAAAAGGCTATTTTCTTTATATATTAGTATAGAAGATTAACTTAAAATTTAATTTATTTAAACTAGTGTTGTGATTAACCCTCAAACTTTAAGATTTTTGGTTTTATAAAAATATTAACTTTTTTTACATTTTTTAATAATGAAAGAATATAATGATCTATCAAATATGAAGATCAAGATGATTATTAAAAGAACTATTCTCTTTATATATTAGTATAAAAGATTGGCTTAAAATTTAATTTATTTAAAATGTATAAATAACAAAACTTGATGAGGATAGATAAAAGTTTTAAAAATATAAAACCATCTATTTAAAATTCGAACTCAAATCTGCTCATCCTTTTAATTACCTTGTTTGTTATCATCCCCAATTATGATTGTGAGCTCGTTATCTATTATAAATAAAACTTTTATAGAAAGAATTCATAATAAAACAAAATAATACAACTTTGTTGCACTACAAGAAAAATTAGTATTATTTACGTAAAAATTCCATAGATAATGATAAAAATCTGTAGATAATTGATAATTATCTACGGAAAAAAATTCGTAGATAATAAGGTCGTAGATAACGTTATCTATAGAAAATTTTTCATAGGTAACATTATCTACGAATTTTATCTACGGATACAGAATTTATCTACGGATGAGGTTATCTACGAAAATTTCCGTAGATAACTTATCTACAAAAATTTCCGTAGGTAACTTATCTACGAAAATTTTCGTAGATAAGTTACCTATGAAAATTTCCGTAGGTAAGTTATCTACGGAAATTTTCGTAGGTAACTTACCTACGGAAATTTTTGTAGGTAACTTATTTTCCGTAGGTAACTTACCTACAAAAATTTTCGTAGGTAACTTTCTGTAGACAACTTATCTACGAAAATTTTCGTAGGTAACTTACCTACGAAAATTTCCATAGGTAACTTATCTACGGAAATTTCCGTAGATAACTGATTTCAACATAGCATAGATTGTTTTGTTTTACCTTTCCACACCAATCATTATAAATAGTTTTACCTAGTCAGAAATATTAATAAAATCACTTCTCAGATTTCTTTAAATATCCTATAACCACAATATGAAATCAAACATCTTTAAAATCTAAATACCCATAGCAATTATGCATAATTAGCTTCCATGTCATAGTGTAAAATAAGACTATTTTGCATAAAATTATACATAATAAAATATTAATAAAAATATTTAAATAGTTGTGGATCCATAATCTAAAAAAAAATCTAACTAATAGTCATCTTCATAGTGTCCAGTAGGTGGTGGTTGTTGGTCATTGTGGTTGTCATGAAATTGTTGATCCACTTGTTGTTGCAAAATATGTTGTGTATCAAAAGATAGGAGAGGTAGAATAACATTGAACAGGGATTGAAACTGGCGTTGCAAGCGTTCATTTTGTTCCCTAGATTGACGAGCCTTCTCCCTAGATTGACGAGCCTCCTCCCTAGACTTATGGACTTTCTCTTCCAATTGAATAATTTTGTCTGAATGTCAGTAGCACGAGCAGAAGATATATTTGTGAAGGTATCCACCAATGTCAATGGAGGAGTGACTTTTCTAACCCCATAAAGTCACCTTTTGTTTGTAACCCCACTAGCAGCAACAATCCAACTCTTATTGTGGAGTCTTTCTTCCTAAACTGGGTCCATAGAAGACGTTTCAGAACCTCCCGTACAAGATGCAACCTCAGACCTAGCTTGATTAAATATAGTCTCAAATTGATCCTATTTCACAAATAAAGATGTTTAGAAGTGACATTTATTAAAGATGATTAAAATTGAAAAGAATAAAGAAATAATACGAAAAAAAAATAACTCACATATGTTCGCTTAGATCTTTGGTCAACAAAATCACCTGTAAGCTTCCGTACATGAGTTTGGTGGAACAACTCATCAATCTGTGGAAGAAAATTGTAGAAAGCACCCACTAGACATTGACCTAGACCATTGAAGGCTTTTTGTACAATTTAGAATGAGCCCTAAACAAATGGTAATATGCTTTCATTCCATTGTTTATAAGGTTGCTTACATTTATTGACACTTAGGAATGTTAATAATGTAGAAGATATCTGATAAAAATGCAGCAAATCATGAAAAGTTGTTGATCCCACATACTTTAGGATCAAAGACACTAGCTAGAAAAGGGATGAGATGGTATATATAAACTTCATTAATTCTATTTGTTATAAAAAATTAAAAATCTTCCCCAAACTAGAGAAGATAAATTTCTTATGTTCTTGATCATTAACATCAAATTTTGCCTTCAACACAACATAATGAAAGTTATCATTAGTAAGCTAACAGATTCCACTAGAAATCAAGTATGTTTAGTTAGTTATAACCATTGAAGGCTTTTTGTACAATTTAGAATGAGCCCTAAACAAATGGTAATATGCTTTCATTCCATTGTTTATAAGGTTGCTTACATTTATTGACACTTAGGAATGTTAATAATGTAGAAGATATCTGATAAAAATGCAGCAAATCATGAAAAGTTGTTGATCCCACATACTTTAGGATCAAAGACACTAGCTAGAAAAGGGATGAGATGGTATATATAAACTTCATTAATTCTATTTGTTATAAAAAATTAAAAAATAAATTGTATAATTATTTTTTGTATGATGCAAAATCTCAGGAATCACAACATGGACAACATTATAGTAGAGGAGATATGTATCCAATTGCTCATAAAAAAAATAAAAAAAAAAGGTGGGTTCAAAAGAGACAAGTTAATGACAAAATCGGATGGATTAAAAAACAAAATATATCATATCATCAATGTTTCACATGCAGCCCAAAATTCTAATTATACATTTTTCAATACATTTTTCAATGTTACTCTTTGTTATGACAACAAATCTTTATGTTTATAACAATACATTTTTCAATAACAACAAATCTTTGTGATTAACAACAAATCTTTGTGATTTTTCACACAAAAATATTTTTGAAAATAAATATTTAGCAATAACAACAAATCTTTGTGTTTAACAATACATTTTTCAATGTTACTCTTTGTTTTATACACTTATCTTCATTTTTCTATTTATAACTTATATACTTATATTGTTATATGTTTAAATTCTAATTATAATTATTAAACTTAACATTATGGTTTGTACAGGTATGCCTCGTACAAGAAGACATATTGTAACTAGGTGTCGATCCACGCCAAATGAACAAAACAAATCTTTTATGGGCACTTTTCAAGGTGAAGAGGTTAATCTACCTCAAAGTGTGCTCATTGAACACGTTGGATCAACTTCTTAAGATGAGATACATGTTGTTTCAATTACTCAATCTAAATCTATGTCACCACACCTTGAACTTGATTTTGGTGAAGATTCATCTACAACTCAGAAAAAATCCCTTACCTATTGGAATGTTGATGTTATTAGTATGTCTAATCTAATTTTAGTTTCTCTTTATTATTCTTTGTTGCCTAACTTATTGGGTTACTTATGTTTTGTTTACTTATATGTTAGATGAAAAGGGTGTTGTTAGGAATACACGTTTAAGGGTGTAAGACGTGTTTGCTACACGTGATGCCACTAGGGTATGTACCAAGTGGAATGTTGAAGGTCAACTAGTAGGAGAGTCAACTAATTTATTAGAAGGGTTTTGGGGTGAAATTGCAAGCAACTTCAACAATTTCCCCATAATGTATGAGACTTGGAAAAAAGTTCCAAATGATTACAAGAATAATGTTTACAATGAGACTATAAAGGTATCAAT